TGAGCCTGGGCTAGAATGCTTTCCTTGGTAAATAACAGTAAATCCAATGGGAAGAAATTAATCATTTGTTCTGCACTGAGATTCACAAGTTAATGAATTGGACAGTGTTCAAATTTATTTGGTCTAACTCAAGTCTCCTCAGTAGATTCACAGTTGTAAAAGAAATTAACATTGTTTTTCATAGTTTCAATATATTTTTGTCTAGAAAATGGGTAATAAGTTATTTGCATGGGCCTTGGATAGCTATTGTTAATTTTATAATTAACCCATCCACATTTCATACATTTCCTCATGGAGAAATACCCTCTATCTAAACTTCCCTCATGTAGGAGTCTTAAGGTTTTCAACAGCAGTAAGAACTGTTGTGCAAATTTATTATTACCAGATGCCAGACCAAAGTAACTTGTGAGTTGTAAAAATCGTAATGTAAAAAAAAAATCATAATGTACTTATGCACTGTTATCTAGTCATCAGTTCTCTTAACAAGCTGTTGGAAGGACAGTAATTCAAATTAGAGGTTTGTCCAGCTAGTGTCTGCAGAGGGAACAGTTAGCCTGACAATCTCTTCCAATGTATTCATCTGCTAACATTAATCTATCAATATGAAAGTGAGAGTATGCTGTTATTAATGATAGCGGCAGGCATAGAAGCAAAACAGAATTATTGTTAAAACACCCCCTTCTGAATATGAAGCAGATTAAGGAATAAAGGGAACAATTCTTGGCCCATATTTCAAGCTCTAACTTAAGACAAACTGGGCCTGTAAACTGACAGTACTCCACATCTTAAATGTTCTCTGTGAACAGTTTTCTGTGGGGACAAAGCCCATGGTAAGATTTCCACTTCTCTCTCTCTCACTGCAACATTTTGGGTAGCTCTATCACACCAACCCCTACTGCTTTACTCACATAACCTCGATTTTCAAAAACAATAATGCTTTTCTTTGGGGACTTTGAAAGATTACAATTTCAAATACACGTATATTATATATATATATATATGCTTTTCACATCAGAAATTTGTAGTTTCCATTTTCTCTTTGAAATATTTTGAAAAAACTCATTGGACTCATGAGTGTGTATTTATACATGTCTAATATCAAGCATAATATCATGTGACACTGGATGCCTAGCCAATAGTAATAATGGAGCTGAAGTTATTTACAAGCATAATATCAGTCTCCTCAATTTGTATTCTCTTCCTCTACCAGCAGATCTCTGTATCAAAGACATCTTGCATTTGACTTTCTCTCTTCACTTTACACAGAATAGCAGTTAGTGGAGCAATTTGGCTCCCCTAAAATTTGCTATGATTTGCAATGATTCAAGATATAAAACTTCTGTAAAAGGCTTCACTTTAAATCAAAGTGACCGTACATTCTCTGTAGGCTAGAAAACAACAAATTATGGGTAATAATACTGACTATTTGGATCCACCAAAAAAATTATGCCAGAGTAATTTGCTGGAGCATTTTGTTGCAGTAATAAATGTCTGGAAGCCCATGGCCACCACTCTGAGCATCTCTTGTAATTGTAGAGGCCAAAGGTAACTTGAATTAATCTCATGATGTCTCAATAAATTTAGTATTAAAATATTTACACAAGTTTTTCTTTTCCTGAGGTATAATTTTTTTTTGGTATTATATAAGGGACTACTTCATACTGGGTACCTTCCTCATTAGTTGAGTTAAGTCTTGAGTTTGTCATTCTCTGTTAGTTGGGATAAAGTCTTGAATTTGAGATTAGCAAAAAGCTTTTCAGGCCAAAAAGCACATATGTTGCTTGTTTCTTATATCAAAACCTAATGACCCCAAACCATCATATAAAATATCTGGCTCTAGTAGGTATAAAAGTTTGTTTTTCTAATTCCCAGCTCTAAAGGTTCAGATCAGCTTTTGCCCATAAAAATACACATACTAAGTAAAATGACTTCCAAAGTCTTACTATTAATAGCGTGAAGTTGCCTGTATAGAGGTTGCAAGAAATTTAAACTCAGTTTACTTTAAGGAAAATCCGCTGGATTGTAGTACACACAGATGGTGTACTTCAAGGCAGAGGAGTTTGGCCATAAGGCTCTAAAACACGGTGACTATGCTTTCAAATTCTGGTACAATGCTGTAGCAGGCACTTTTCCTTGGATCAAAGTAAGATTGTATGGTAGCAAATGTAGCTAAAGGGAAAACCCTTAAGAGCCATCATGGGTGGAAAAGGTCATTTTTCTCTCTGAACTTGAAGCTCGCTGGGATCAGTTCCCAAGCCCTGACAGCAAGCCTAGGAGTTCTCCAGCATCACTGCCTTTGCAGTCACTGAACTGGTCACATGTCCTGCTACAGGGACATCTATGGCACCTGTACCTTCAGCACTGGGGGAAGAAGGTAGAAGCCCGTATCTAAAATTCAGCCATATGGATTTTGAGAGACATACAAAGGGTGATCAACAAATATGGCAAATATTTGCATGAAAAACTTAGTATGATAAAAGGTGCTTGGCCAAGAATGATGGGATAAGTGTCTTAAAAGCCAGAGGGCATGTTGTGAGTATTTTAGGGGGATTAATGACAGTGTGTCTTTTACTGTAATAAAATTTTGAATTTAAATATTCATCATAGTTTTCAGTCACCTCTTGATCAAACACTTATGGAAATTTCTGTCAAATAAAGACATTATAGTTTGTTCTCATTGACCTTATTCAACACAAGTGGCACCATGCAACTTCTGGCTCCTCCTCAAAGTCAAAATGACCACGAAATATAAACATTTTGAATTGATTCAGGACATCTTGGCAGTCATACCGGCACAACTACAGACATGGACAAAGACCTCCAGAATTGCTTTACAAAATGGCAAGAACAGATGGGATAAGTGTGTTCAAAGCAAGGGGGTGTATTTTTAGGGGCATTAATGGCAATGTGTCTTCTACTGCAATAATTTTTTAAAATTTAAATATTCATAATATTTCTTGATCATACCATGTATAACCTCATATAAATGCTACTTGTTTTAATAAAAGCATGGTATTACACAGTCCTATTGGAATCCATTCTTTGTATTTTCCATTTAGTTTATTGGTACATTTTAGGTATACAATACAGTTACATTCATCATTGGGATCTTATACCTTTTACATGATATATCTTGGTTCTTATTTTTTCCCCATTCCCCTGCCCTCCCTTCA